CTTCTATTAAAATTAAATCTCAAAATTACATGCCCAGATGCCCTTTGAAAACAAGAAAAATAATTTATCGATTATTTCATGAGTCAGACAACTTGGACAAGGACTATGTTTTTAATTATACGGTCAAATATCAAGTTTTCATTGTCCTTTTGGATTTGGTCATGTGGCTTTGGGAAAACTCCAAAGCACTATCTCAGAAGAGACCCAAAAAGAAGGAAAAATTAATAGGTATTTTATTATTATTTTTCCTAATTACTATTACTAAAACTATATATAAATATACAACAGAGAATAGACACAGCTTCAAAACCAACTCCCACATAAATACACAACAGTATACCATATACTAATTATTTACTCCCCTTATTAATATTATAAGGTAAAATGAAAAAAAAATTGCCCTCTTTATAAGTCATATAATTAAACTTTTAACACAAATTTACTATTTTGCCTCTCATTTATTATTGTGTAAATTATTATTATTTTTTAGAAGTGTATATGTTAAATGGAGTAAAATTAAAAAATTGTTAACTTTTAAAACAAAATTAATGAGAGTTTACAAAAAAAAAAAACAAAGTTAATGAGAGTTAATCATTTAAGTTTTTTTCTTGGTTATATGTTATTAGAAAACTTGACATAATAAATATAAAAAAATTAACATAAATATTTTTATTATTGATCCCAATAAAATATATTGAAAATAACATACTCCTCCAGTCCTTAATATAGGACCCAATTGGTGAGTTGGTTTTGGTTCTAAATATAAGACCCATTTCTCATATTTATCAATTATCTCTAAATTACCCCTATGGATACTCTTTCAACCATAATCAAGTAGAAGAGAAAGATGGGGTGTTAAGAAATATGATTATGATATTTTAGGAAAAACGTGTCATATTTCTTATAATTAACTAACTTACCTAATTTTCTTGATTTAATCAAATTAGTTAAATGGGTCTTATATTAAGGACCGAAAGAGTACTATATACCGAGGCAACTTCAAAACCAACTCCCCATATATATATATAGAGAGAGAGAGTAGTGTGCGTATGCATGCTAATTAGCTGATAAAGCGGCTTCTTTATGGTTGATGAGCTCTCTTAATTGAGAATAAATTAGTTTATCACTGTCAGCTTACGCTTACGTTATGAAATATTGCCAATTTTAAGTAATTTATCTTACTCCCTCTTCTCATTCAACTATGATGGTGTCATTATATAATCAGGTTGCTCATTCTATGTCTCTTTCTTCTGTGTGTTGTGTGTGTTTTGTGGTTTTCCAGGTACGCGGATTGTTTTTCTCAGCATTGAATTGCAGCGAGTTGGTACTCCTCCGATTAATTAAAAAAGTTAGACGTGTTATATAATATAATTTGCATTATAAAATAAGTATTACAGTTAGGACCAAAGGAGTAATTTGTATTTAGTTAAAGTAAAAAAGCAAATTACTTAAAATTCAATGACGCATGCACAGTGGAAAAAGTAGGATATGTGTGTATGCTTTTTTTTTTTTAAATATTAAGGGGGTGTTTGGATAGAAACCAAACCATGGTTTCAGAAGTGCTTTTACGGATTACGAAGTAAATATGTGGAGGAGATTACCTCGTTTTGCGGAAAAGTGCTTCTGAAACCATGGTTTTGGGTTTCCCAAACACCCCCTAAGTCAAGGGTCGTGCTTTTCCTCCCTACAAAGTTGATTTCTCTTAAACTTGAACTCGAAACCTAAAGAGATCTAGTGAGCCTTATATTAGAGTATGTGACTTTCTATAACTCAAATAAATAAGTATCATATAGATCAAATTAATACAAATAAATAGATCATGCCGTGGGTGTAAAACTGTACATTATAAACAAATTCACTTGTTTTGGTTGAAAGAATAAGAAGGAAAAAAATATATTCTTCAAGTGAAAACATCTCATTTTTTTATTTTTCTTAACTTGTAAGAAATTTCCTAGAAATAGAATATATTCCCATTCGAGGTTAGAATGCTAGATAACACATAGACAACCTTCTGTCTCTATCATCAGAACAAATCAGTCAATATAAAATATACAAGTTATAACCAATCACACTATTTTAAAAAATAAAAAAATCATGTTATTTATAAGTCATAAACCTTATTTTGAGTAAATGTATAAAAATATACTATCTCCGGTTCTAATTATAAGAGTCAGTTGACTAATTTGAAGAGATTAAGGAAATAAGTTGAGTTAGTTATTTATCTTAAATAGATATTGTCTTTCCTAAAATATCATTACTAATCAAGTGTATTGACTACAACTATCATTATTAGAATAGCTACTTTGGGAAAAAAATATAAATATGAGAGACAAAGTGGATTGGAGTCTTATATTTAGGATCAAAATAAAAGTCAAACAGGATCTTATATTAAGGACCGAAGGTAATATATCATATTAAATCTTATATAAATCACATTAATCATTTATAACTTACAAATTATAAATAATACTCCACAATAATCCAATCAGAAGTTACATATATTAATCAGTCTGATTCTTTGGGGTAACATGATCTACTACTCCTCCTGTCCTTATTATAAGACCTAATTTGACTTTTTATTTGGTCCTAATTATAAGACCCAATCCATTTTGTCTCTTATATTTATGCATTTTTTTCCAAGATAATTCTTCTAATAATGATAGTTTTAGCCAATATACTTAATTAGCAAGGATATTTTAGGAATGACAACACTTATTTATTATAAATAACCAACTTAACTTACTTCCTTAATCTCCTCAAATAAGTCAATTGGGTCTTATAATTAAGACCGGAGGAGTACATTTTTTTTGGTAACTTACTATTCATTAGCTATGTGAATAGTGGGACTTGGTTCAACTCGATGCCCACTTTTATTCTATTATCGTCATTATCATTTTAAAAGGGAATAAAGAAAGGAACCTCGCATTGCAGGGAGAGGCGGTGTCCTGGCGTAACGGCCAGCGAGAATAACTGAATTTTAAAAGGGAAATCAGGGTACTAAAACTAAGAGGTTACTTGGGCTGCAAGCAATCTGATGGCCACTTCACTATTCTCCACCCCCACCGCGTAAAAATGGTACACTGGTCAACAATCCAAAATGTGTGACTTAAGACCTTTATGAGTCGCGTTGCAAGTACCTAGCATGAAATTTCCTGGGAGAAAAATAATATCCCTTGGGCGTACAATCTAATTAACTAATTCGTGAACATTATTAACTAAGTTCATTATTTTATCATTATTATTATTATTATGTAAAAAATTTGTGCCATTCCCCTTAAAATACAGCTCTTCTAGTGGGGGTATTAAATGTGAGAAATGAAAAGAGTGAGATTAACTAGGGTAATGTGGGGAAAACATTAAACGGGGAAAACAAAGCAGACAGCATCATGTATTATAAGACCAAACCACATCCATAAACTAAATCGATTTAGTAATGTATCCAAAACCGAGGAAAAATATATAAAATAATATGCATTGTAGCTTGTTTTGATTTCTTCATGGTCAAGCAAACTGATGTAACAACTTTAGCATCACATTAATATATATATATATGTATGTATATATGTATATATACTTTGTTCTTTCTTGCCTAATTTTTGACCTAGTCGTAGTTTAGTTGGTCCTTGAGAAGCCTACACTTATGAAATACTTCTCCGATCCTTAATATAAGACCCATTTAACTAATTTGATTAGATTAAGGAAGTTAGGTAACTTAGTTAATTATAAGAAATGTGACACGTTTTTCCTAAAATACCATAATCATCTTTCTTAATACCCCATCTTCCTCTTCTACTTAATTATGGTTGAGGGAGTATTCATAGAGGTAATTTAGAGAAAATTTATAAATATGATAAATGGGTTTTATATTTAGGACCAAAAACAACTCAACAATTGGGTCCTATATTAAGGACCGGAGAAGTAATAAAACAAGAAATTAAAATTAATTACGCCAGTTGAAAATGAAACCAAGTCCCATGCTTATATCCCATTATAATATACAAATGTCATATATCATGGAGTAGTTTCTATCTGTTTTTTTTTTTAACATTATTTGCTCATGTCAAAACAAAGAACAACTAATTCTTTAATTAAACATTAACGCCTGCATTTATCATTGGTGAATTGAAAAAAATCTAGTAGTACTGCGATTTAATTGAAAAATTGGTTGAAACGAACAAAAGCAAACAGATTTAAGTCGCCTTCTTCCCCTTGGTCTCTAATAACGTGAATCTTAGAGAGTTAGGGTGTGTTTGGTATGAGGGATTTGGAAGGGAGGGGAGGGGAGGGGAAGGATTTTAATCATTTTCCCTTGTTTGGCAACACACAAATTTTAGGAGGGGAGGGAAAATTTTTTAAAATTTCCCCTCCCCTCCCCTCCTCAACCTCCCCTCCAAAATTGGGAGGATTTGGAGGGAAAAGGCAATATTTTGTCATATTATGACCATTATGTTCATATTTTGTCATGTTGTGACCATTATGTTTATATTTTGTCATGTTGTGACTATTATGCCCACGCCTTAAATAAAATAAGAGCAAAATTGTCCATATTAAAATATTTTTCCCTCCCCTCCCCTCTTTTTTTATAAATCCAAACAAGGTGTTAGTCTTTGGCCTCATGCTAAAAGAACAAAAGGAAAAGAAATCTCAAGAGTTAGTCCGTGTGGCTGTTAGGAAAATCTGCATCTTAGTGATAATTGAAACTTACAATGTTATTGTCGAACCTGAACAAAGCCCGTAAATTTCAAAGAAACTACATGAGATTAAAATCCGAACTAAGGTTGTTGCAGACTCAACAGAACAAGAAGCTCACACAATGACACAAGGATCCAATCCAAGAGTAGCAGAATGAGAAAGTAACAATCAAGAAAGTGGCTTACACATATGAATGATGATATCAAGAAGTAAGATTAGTCCTCAGGTGAGAGATGACCCAAGGCCAAGTTAAAAAAAATCACACACTAATCCCAAGCAAAATGGATAGTCCCCAGGTCGTATCAAAAGTCAAAAGGCATGAAGGAGTTAAATTTCGGGTTGCAGCATTTCAAAAACTTGAACCACAAATAATGCAGAAATCACCCTCAAAAGCCCAAATACACCAAAAGGAAAAACAAGCCGATCAAATTCACCTCTCCTATAGTTCTGTGAAGTTCAACAATTAATCAATTATCATGATAGATACACGAGCTCTGCAAGTTTCAGCATATCCTCATGTTAAACTCAAGAAAATCATTACTTGAAATCACCTTCTCCACTCTGCTTGAGTTAACTTTCCTGCGAGATGAGGAAACTAGTTTATGGCTATCAATCATGAAAACATAAAATAAAACAGCATATTTCAGATCGATTTTAATTTTCAGGTTGTTTCCACCAGAGTTGTACTGTTTTGAAAACCAGGATATTGTGTAGCAAAAAGCGAAACGAACAAAAACCAATAGTTTAACTTTAGTACTGTTTTGCTTATTCTGGTCCCTGCAATTCCAAAACTTAGAACGCTAGTTTGCAAGTGAAGTCATCATCATATGTGACATATCAATCCATTTTATCTAAGAAGAAATATATCGTACCATTAGCACTTCTGGAAGAACCTGTTGCTCTGTCAGTCCTGTGTCCCACTTTGCCTCCTGCTTGAGCTGGTCTCTGTGTTCTTGGCGAATGCGAACTAATTTTACTGTTATTTGAAGATGGCAGAGAATGCCGCCTGGTAAGGTTGCTTCTCTCACCACCATCTTGTCCTAACCTTGGGGACCCTTGTGCTCTCAACTTTGCCTTGGCAGATTCAGTAGCCGCCATATAACTTGGTAAAGTGGGAGTTGGGCTATTCTGTAAACCATCCTCCACAGGTTCCTGCTTAGCTAGAGCTGGGGATTTCCCACCGGCTTTCTGGTTTTCATTTCTGATTGAATCTTCCTTAAGACTCAAATGCCCATTTATTAGGGGAGAATTTTCATCATTACAACTCTCGTGTGGATCTTTTAGTACTTTGGCATCTTCTTCACCAGAATTGTTTTTCCATCTACTTGTATTCTCTCTCAAGGGTGCCGAATTGATGGGCACTTGAGTATCAGGAATGTTAGACGCCTCCTTGCCAACTGAAATTCTAAGTGTAACTACTCCGTTAGGCTCATTGGACATGGCCAATGCTGTGTCCATTTTTATCTTCTCATTGGAACAGCTTTTGATCCCGTCTTCTGAAACACCATAGCCTGAGGTAACTGCTTCCTCTTCCGGATGCTGCTTCGCAATCTCTGATTCAACTTCTGACTGAGCAGAATTCTCTACAACAGGGTTACCAACCTTTCTCAAGTTACGCTTAACCTTCTCAAACTCATTTTCTGAACTTTCCTGCACTGGATCTGTGGGCTTGCTTGAAACTTTTCTCAGGTTTCGTTTTGGCTTCTCAAAATCAGAATTTTCTCGCATTAAGACCAAGTCTAAACTTGTAGAAGGAATCTTCCAGTTAGCACGTTTTGGTTTGCTCATCTGAGCATCTCCATTTGAAATATTACCCAGCTTTCTCTGAGATTTAGAGTCTATGAGTTTCTTGGGTTTGGGAACTGGTTTCCAAAAGTGAGATGCTGACCAGCGCTCCAACCAACTTAGGACTACATTTTGATCCCCAGATGCGTATTGAAGACGCGAAGCAGTTTTTGCAGTTGATGAAGCAAGAAGCTGAAACAACGAACCAAATTTGGCCAAGACAGATCAATGATGCAGCTCTGAAAGTCCCTCTGTTTCCAAATTAAGCTATGGTAAACTAGGATCAAGACATGAATGAAACTTGCGCATAACTCACATGGGGACTGGTTTAGGCACAGAGTTTCATCATTTTACAATAAGAGACCATAAAAGCATGTCTATTATATTACAGAATCATACTATAATTCATTGTTAAAAATAACACATATCCAGACTCAGAAGCCACGAATACAAAATAACTTTACCAGTTATCACAAGCATAACATAATTCAACTTGCCTTGTGGATAAAAACATTCGGTGACGTATTTGCAATTTTTGTGGTTAACCCAACTGAGTTGCCACACTTGTCAACCTGAAGCACAACATATTCAGGAGGAAAAAAAATCAGCAGAAACAACGTTTGAAAGATATGATATGATAAATGTAGCATAAAGTCATACTCTCTCTCTCTCTGCATTGACTTATGAAGCAATGATACCCTGTGTTTCGATCTTAAAAGTGCATTACGGAGACAGTGCCCACCGATTAACAGACTATAGTTCAAAAGTTCGCATACAACTAGACACTGTCCATGCATAAACACTTCAGCTTTTATTTTCATGAAAACTCGAATAACATTACCCACCAAGACAGTTAGGCACATTATGAAGTATTCTCTTCATCTCTTGACATGCATGAAGTTTCAAATAACTACTACCCACTGACTACTACTTCCTATTATAGGCTCAGGTTTACATGATCAAGAAAGGATGTGACTGAATTCCTGGAAGAGCCATTTTTTAAATCTTTGGTGGAGTTTCATTATTCTTTAGTCTTTTTTCATTTGAGGAGCTTTCATTAGAGAAATCTAAAATAATATAAATAATATGACCTATTATTGATTATTGAAAATCGAGAGACTTAGCTCTATGAAAGCATTACCAGAGGCTTCACAAGATTGCACTTCCCATGCATTTCACGTCCAACATTAGAATGCCTAACTCTTCGGCCACGAAGAAGTGCTTGTAACTTGATAATCCCATACATGCAACATAAAGTAGAAATAGCTTGCCTCCTAACCAGGTGCCCTCGGACAAGTGCTTGCAACCTTATTATGCCTTTAAGAGTCCTGAAAGCCCTGCGAGCCTTGACACCAGTCACGTCCATTAGTTGAGGCATAAATCATGACAATGAGAATTCCAAAATAATACATTCAACAAACTTAAGAATGCTGTTATTGATAACTGTTTCTGAAGACATTTACGAGAATTGCCAGAACAGAAGCAGTAAAGAAGATTGACAGCTGCAATCATTTTCTTGATGAGCATTACAGCTGTGGGAACAAGGCAGAATGAATGTCCAGCAGAAGATCAACAGGAAATTTAAGCTTCAAAATAAATTGAATACACAATTTTTTTTATTTTTTGGAAGAATTGGGGAAAGTCCCCCATTGAAAATTTTACTAGTGAGAACCTGATAAATTTTTATATGCACAAAGTACTGGTACTTTGCAAATTTTGTCCACACAGAGTACCAGTACTTTGATTTATGTCCTTCTCATCAATAAAAATTTTAATGGAAGACTTTTCCCTAATTTTCCCTTTTTCTCCAGTTGGCACTGAGAACATTCACTTGAATGCTTCTGGCTATACACCACTACATCAGATACAGTAAGCAGCTTAAACATCAGTTGGTTTTAACTCTACAATTCAAGTATCGCACTAGATTATGTTTTCTTAACTTCTCGATTCCTTGTTCCAACAAAGCCTTTAAGACAGATGTCACTTGACTCTAATTCATGACATCAACAGTAAACAAATTCCATACAGTTTTTATATTTTTTGCAGCCTGCATTTATATCATCTTCAGGATTACACTTGAGACTACCATTTTTCCCCTGAAATACATTTTCAATTGAAGCTTTAAGAGTATACATGAAAATTACCAAATAACCCCTGAAAGTAGCTTGCACCTTCATTACAGCTTCCTCCTGCTTAATTTTGTCTAGATCAGGAGGTAAAGTAGCCTGCATCTTAATTGCAGCTTCCTCCTGCTTAATTTTGTCTAGATCAGGCGGTAAAGTAGCCTGCACCTTTGTTGCAGATTCATCCTGCATAATTCTCTCTGGATCGGAAGGGGCATCTTGATGATCAGATCCTGCAATATCTGCTTGATTCTGCAGCAAAAGATTTTCTGATCCATTATTTTCCACTCCTAGATCCCTCTCACTTCTAGCAAAAGTAGTGGGAGTTGGATCAAAAGAGAACTCAGTTTCTGATGCCTTGGAAGCAATTGGCGCTTCTTTCTGTTTAACAAGTTTCTACATTACGAAGTTTTAAAAGTCAGGAGTTTCGATGAAATAAGCAAAAACTTGATCCCACAATGACATAGCAGAGTATTACCTCTCTTGCTTTTGAAATATTGGATTTGGATGACTTTTTCCCAAATAGCACAGTTTTGATCCATTTTCCCGGTGACTTCCCCATGATGAGGTCTGGACCTGTAAAATTAGAAAGGGTGAACCTGGTCTCTCTGCATCAATTTGCATGGACATTGTTTACATAAAAAATTAAATAATGACAACAAACAAGAATAATTCACTAAATCAAGATTCCAGCTATAGACGATCATCAAGTTCAGTTATTTCAGTGCAACAAAGATTTTAGTTTCTTGCTGAGATTTTCATGCTTTTTTTCTTAAGTTTGAGATGGGAAGTGTTGCCATATATGGTTCAGATACGCAAGTAATCTTTTTTAGTTTATAAGTAAAGAAACTCAATAACTTTATCCCTAATGTCCAAGCAAGAAGTTCTGAAGGCTCTGAAACAGTGTCAAGTGAAGCAATGACCATACAGCACATAAATTGAAACCAGATGAATCATTTATGCTTATACATATGGTGCACCTCACTCATTGCTGTGACTGTAATATCAAACGTAAGAACTAAGAAGAACTGCTAGAAATAATAGGTTTAAATATTAAACAACTTTTAGAGGTTTCCGTTTTTGGAATTGAGTGAGATTTTTGGTATTGACTCTTTCATTTATGTTCCTGGAATCATGTAATTCATCTAAAGTTGTATAATTCAGGTAACAAATATAGTTCACCGCACTAGAGTTTGAAAAGCCACGAAGGTTAGTACAAATAGAGTTAAGGGTTTAAAAGTTTGACGAAGAGGGAAATCACAGGAGTAAAGTTTTATAGAGAAAGAGTAATTTGAGTATTTTCCTTTTTCCCAGTAAGGGTTGAGCATATTAGAGTGTGATCTCCAAGCATTTTCCTCTTTCTGGCTGAAACATGTTTTTCCCAATAATAACATTGTTTAAATCAGCTAGTTAAACAAAGCACATTGCAAATAAGCAAATCAAGTTTTACTTTCCGACCTCCCAAAGAAACGTTTTTGCGACAATTTTTGTCAGGAAAATGTACAATTAGCTCAGCATTAATCAACCTGGGACGCTATAAGTAGAAGTTGTCGTTTTAGTCAAAGATGGTTATTTCCAAAGTACCTAAAACGATTACGAAGAAGGCAGGGAATACCAAGATGTGACAGACTGGTTTAGGCATGGTTCATAATGACAAAAGAGAAAAAGAAGCAAAGGAAAGTCCTTAAAGACGTCGAGAATCCCTAAAACCCACAAGATCTACTGCTCATTAAACTACGAACACACGCTGCTACATTTCTGAAAGTCTGAGATCAAACTTAACGAGGTCAATTCGAGCTAGATCTACCCCGTACCAAACAAATGCAGAACCTATCTTCACCCAAGTCAATTGTTCCTGAAATCCCGAATCAAACCATGAGAATACAAAATGTGCATGAACTGATTCCTAGAAGAACGTGATCATATGTACATTGGAGTAGACGAGAGATAGAACAGAAGCAAATGTGGCTTACCATGGAAGAGAGTCAGAGAGAGACCTTGAAACCCAAGGGAAAAAAAAATGTGATCTTTAAAGCTCCATCAATTTTCTGCTAGCTTGCTGAGTTGCTTTGATGCCCTCTGCTGGAGAAGCGAAGAAAACAAAGTCTGAAACTGAAAAAGGTGGCAAATTTGGTCGAAAATGAACCCCCTATAGTCAGAACTCACTGAATGTCATGTAGCCAATCTCAATTTCACCGCTAGATGTAATGGCTTATGATTGACATTAACGCTATTGACCAGAGACGCGAAAAATTGTCTGATCGGACGGTTCCCACGATAGTATATGGTGCGCTTGAGCGCAGATGATATCAAAGTCGAGATTCGTGATAGTAAGTGGACGTGTGGGGAGTCCCAGTGCAGTTACTTCGAAACCAAGTGTTGCAGGTTCTTTATTCGGAAGCATTACAAAATTACACTTCCGTCCTCCCTACCAAAAAAGGGTAACACGCTCAAACGCGCGTGCAAATAATATGGACCGTTGATGTGATGGGCAAGTCCCCGGACGACCATGAGCGGACGGCGCGTGGAGTTTGGAAAGGTGAGGTAGGAGGGGGGTTACGGTTGGTACGTGGGAGCCACGCTGGCGGGTAGGACAAGGTGGGGGGATGAAGTGAAGTTAGGAGGCAACGTGGGACAAAAAGAGTAAGGAGGATAAGAGCCACGTCACTGATAACTGTCAGCAGCAAACCAGGCGATTGCTGCAATAATCTTATGCAGCACAATTATGCTTTCTGACACAAAAACCAGGTTTAGTTTTGCAATAAGACGGTGATTACATTTTATTCCTTTTTGAGTTGTTCTCTTTGGTCTGGTGGTTAATCCAGGGCTTTTGTCCGTCTTCACCGAACAACAAAACATCAACCAATCAAAGTTGCAATCACAGTTACTGTACTGTTATCATTATTCCCATCATCCTCTTGACATGATATATCAACTCACATTATTTAACCTAAAATACAAAATCTTATACTCCTCCGGTCCTAATTATAAGACCCAATTGACTTATTTGAAGAGATTAAGGAAGTAAGTTAAGTTGGTTATTTATAATAAATAAGTGTTGTCATTCCTAAAATATCCTTACTAATTAAGTATATTGGCTAAAACTATCATTATTAGAAGGATTATCTTGGAAAAAAAATGCATAAATATAAGAGACAAAATGGATTGGGATCTTATAATTAGGACCAAATAAAAAGTCAAATGGGGTCTTATAATAAGGACCGGAGGAGTAATTAAGATCAAAAGTAATAATGGTTTAACAATTAAAATAATTTGTTAGAAGATTTAAATAAAGAATACACACAAATATTTCAATACATAGGAAATTTTATATTCATCTTTGTTGATTTTCTCAATATGTAGGAAACTTTATGCCTTTCTCAACCAAATGAAAAACATTTATAGAGACGAGAATTGAGCAATAAGTCACACACACACATATATATACTCTTCCAGTCCTTAATATAAGACCCATTTAACTAATTTGATTAGATTAAGGAAGTTAGGTAAGTTAGTTAATTATAAGAAAAGTGACACATTTTTCTTAAAATACCACAATCATCTTTCTTAATACCCCATCTCCTTCTTCTACTTGATTATTGTTGAGAGAGTATCCATAGGGGTAATTTAGAAAAAATTAATAAATATGAGATAGGACCAAAACCAATTTAAGAATTGGGTCCTATATTAAGGACCAGAAGAGTAACTCTTTTGCAAATTTAAAATTTTTAGTCGAGGCTGGCCTTGATCCTTCTTTTATGCTTGCCTCCGCCAAAGAGCTTGGCTTTCATTGTATTTCAGCTAATCTTTTACTGGACATCATTCTCAGATATACATGCGACAGCAGGTATCAAAGCCAAGAAGAAGAGTAGCAATGGGAAGTAGACAAGATAGCATTTGACTGTGTCTCGGTGCCAATACTCGTTGGCAGCTTGAATGGATCACAGAAGTTACCCACAAACTGTTCTCTCTAATTTCTAATACGAAAGTTATATACTTGTCAGGTCCTAAATATAAAACCTTTATACATACTAGTATAAGAGTCTTATATTTAAAACCGAAAAAGTAATTAATTTGTAAAAATTAAGAAAATAATTTAAATTAATTACTTGTTAAAAATATGTGTTTGTTTTGTTAAAATACCTTTTTTAACAATTTGCTTATAATTATTTCTTGATAATCTTTTAAACACGTGTAATCAATATAAATATTTTGAAAAAAATAAATTAAGAAAGAAAGTGGATTAATATATAATATTTATGATAGGGAGAATCCAAAAAAATACTTTTAAATTTTAAAATTTTAAATCAGTTTTGTTCACTATATTTTAATAGCAATTAACTATATTTGAAAAGTAAATGATAACATATTTTTGTAGTGATTCTTGATTTGAAATTTTTAAATTTTAAATGCATTTTTTTAAAATGTTTCCTTTAGGATAAGTCTTTGCTAGTTCATATGCTCACTAAAGAAAGCACTACCTCTAGTCCTTAATATAAGACCTTGTTTGACTTTTATTTTGATCCTAAATATAAGACCCTAACCTACTTTTTCTCTCATATTTAAGTATTTTTTTTAAGATAGTCCTTCTAACAATGATAATTATAGCCAATACATTTGATTAGTAAGGATATTTTAAGAAAGACAATACCTATTTATTACAAATAACTAGCTTAATTTTTTTCTTTAATCTTCTTAAATTAGTCTACTAACTCTTATAATTAGGATTGGAGGTAGTAATATATGATGATAAGTTTTGTTTTTTTTTTTCAAGGACCTTGCGTGATGATAAGTTGATAACTTGGCAATAATGAGAATCCACAATAATTCACCTCATTAAAGATTATATATAAAGAGAGAAATAAATTGAATATTAAAATAAAATAATGCTGAATGGAAAAAATATGATGGAGGAAATTGCACATACGCGTCCGGGTTCAAGGCACGTGTTTAAGGTTTCATTAAACCATGTCTTTTGCTCATTCAATCCACAAGTTTAGTCTCTCCATTTTGAGGCAAAATGTTGGTGTTTTGTGGCAGCGAATGGGAGAGGCAGAGAAGACAAGCCGAACCCAACTCCCCCAACCATTCTCCATATCATCCTTTACTTCAACCGCATAGAATAAATTCTCATCTTCCATATGATGCGAACAATTAATGTTTGAATATCTATATTTAATACTACCTCCGGTCCTAATTATAAGACCCAGTTGACTTATTTGAGGAGATTAAGGAAATAAGTTAAGTTAGTTATTTATAATAAATAAGTATTGTCATTCCTAAAATATCATTGCTAATTAAGTATATTGACTAGAACTATCATTATTAGAAGCATTATCTTGGAAAAAAATACATAAATATGGGAGACAAAATGGATTGGGATCTTATAATTAGGACCAAACAAAAAGTCAAATGGGGTCTTATAATAAGTACCGGAGGTAGTACTCTATAATATCTCAAACAATATTATTTTTTATAGGAGATACATGTACTTGGCCCAAAAAGAACAAAAATCCTGTGACACTACCATGCGATTGTTGGGTGCCATCTCCCAATCCATATCTGATTCTTAGTTTTTTTTTTTTTTTGCATAGTATGGGAAAATGGTACTATCTCTGATCCTACATACTACCTTTGATCCTTAATATAAGAGTCAGTTGACTAATTTGGATAGATTAAGAAGGTTTGTTAATTAGTTATTTATAATATATAGATATTATCTTTTTTAAAAACTTTTGCTAATCATGTGTATTAACTAAAATAACCATTTGATGAAACCTTTAATATGTGCAACTACTACAAAAACTATTTTAAAAAAATAGATAAATATGAAAAATAAAATGAATTGAAGTCTTATATTTAAGATCAAATTGAAATTGAAATTAGTTTTTATATTACGGACTAAAAGTAATATAAGACATAGTTTGTAATGTAAGTTCTACTCCTCCGATCCTACATATAAGACCCTTATACTAGTGTGTATAAGGGTTTTATACTTAGGACTAGAGGAGTACAAGATATAAATTAAATCTTATATTTAGAGCATGAGGTAAAAGGAAGTAATATGTTAAGTCCACATTGAGATGCGTTAATATTTATATTGACCAACTAGCACCTTTTAACACATTGCATGCATATACCGAGTTCATGACCATAGATGCTTCCTCTTGCCTAACCTGTGTACTAAGCTAAATGCCCTTAGTTCTTCATTTTCTTCTGCATATGGCACCATGCCGTGGCCTTTGTATTTTTCAAACAAATTGATAAATTGAATTAGCCCTTAATACCTAGGAATAAAAATAGTTTACATTTGGGAACAAACTCACACGAGATCATTACTTTGAAAAGATTCTTTTTCTTTGACATATTACTCGAAAATTTTTCAAAATTTGAAAAAAATGGCGTCATAATAAAAACTTGAGGGAAAAAGAGTGAACTAAAAACATACTAGCAATTCTTGAAATTTAGTGCCTTTTGTTTATAGGGAAAACTATGCTCTGAGTCCTTATAGTTTTGGTCAAATTTGGTCAAGGTCCCTAGAGTTTATTTTTTAGGATATGGATCCTTATAATTTCAGTCAAATTTGGTCAAACTCTTTCTGTTAACTAACCCTGTTAAAAATGATTACTTGGCAGATGACTAATTAGTTGGCAATTTCTTTACGATGACTGGGCTTCTTTTTCCTCCAAATTGGTGCTGGTAGGGAATGCCAGATCGTCTCCTTCTTGTGCTCCTGGGATATTTGAGTTTCAAATCTATCATCATCAAAAGGGGACGCGGTGTCCAAAAGGGGACGATTAAACTTACCTCTTCCATTCCATAAACTTAACCCCCGCCTCCCAAAAAAATGAATGAACGAGGGAAAAGATGAAGAGGTAGGTAATAGATCTGAGAAAAGATTATAAGAAGGAACCCAGAGAGACAACCTCTACAAGAAGCTAAGAAAAATTCTTCTTGCTCTCGCAATATCTGTAAGCAATTTTCGAACCAAACCCAGAAGCAAATAACAGATGAGAATGGGTCTTCCTTGTTTGTCGAGTTGGGGGGAGAGAGGGAGAGAGAAAAAAGGGGTCCAGGGATGGTGATAAACACCAGAGGAAGAACTTGCATATTCAAGTACTCTTTTCTCACATTTAAATCCCCAATATTGAAGGAATGAAGGAAAAACGGAGATGGAGGTATAGATCTGAGAAAGAATTCCTTCCACTATGATATGTAATCGTTGTATTTGCATCCATTTACTTGCTCTATGCAAGATTCCAAGCGTTCTCTCTACGTCTGATGCCTTTATTTATTGCGATGTGCAGCCTTCCACCATCACTTAAACAACTCATTTAAAATCAGCTTCATCTGGAAAGGATATGAAACTCAGATCTGGAAGAAGCGCAAGAAGACGACAATCTGTGGCCAAAATCGTAAATGATGGATCTTGGAAGGGGGTTCCCAAAATTGTGAGTTGGCATCAATTTGCGGAAAACAAGGCCAGCCATCTTCAAAAAATTGCCAACTCATTAAGTTATTTGCCACATAATTATTTTAAACACTGTTAGTTAACGGAAGGATTTTGAACCAATTTGACTGAAACTATAAGGACTTGTATCCAAGTAAATAAACTCTAGGGACCTTGACCAAATTTGACAAAAACTATAAGGACCTAGGACTTAGTTTTCCCTTGTTTATAAAATATGTATGTTTGGGCCATGTCTATGGTCATTTGACCCAAAATAAAAGAAATCTAACGGCTCCGGGTTTTGAAATTTGAAATTCGAACGATGAGGGAGCCTTCAGGGCCCACTACGGGACTTTATTCACAAGCCAGCCAGAGCCCACAATTATGCAATCTTAACGTTTAACCGTTATTACTGGCTTCACAAATCCTCACCTCCCCCGTAATTTTCTTTGCAAATCATCACATCGAACGGTCCCGAAATTGCCACGTTCAACCATCTTGCGGTTTACAGTCCTTCACAATGAACCTTCTAAATCAGAATCTCTCCACGTCAGCGAGCTCACATGTGATCGAGCGAGTACCCTTGCCGTCCAACCTGGGCGCGTGGTCTTAGACAACAGACAAATTTTTAATTTTAGAGAAAGAGGGGTGGTTCTTTGCTTTTCCCGCCCAACGGACACTTGGCCACCGCAGACACCCTTATATATCCACTTTTGAAGTTGCCGATTCGACAGAAGCAACCTCGGTCTGTGAATTCTGAATCAGAAACACAAGCATCAATGCAGGAACCTGTCAAGGTACATGCCTCTGCTGGCGCTGGGAGTGTTTCCGGTACAATGCTCGCCCCATATTCTGTTTCTTCTCTTGTTTCCTCTGTGTTCTTCTTACGAATTTCGTTTGATTCAGTCGCCAAACAGAAAATCGTTTGGTCTTTTAATCGTTTTGTCTTGTGATGCAGCGAACTCGGCAAGGCCGAAGCTTCCAAGATACACTCTGCGTTCCGCGAATAAATCAAACAAAGAGGAGCCACATGCTGCGTCCAGGAGGTTTTTCCTTTTATCTTTTCCTTTTTCTTCTTACCAAATTTTCTCTCTTATTGCCGCTTATAAAGCTTTCGAACAATTTGTCTGTCGAATAGTGCTTGGGACCTGAATTCCCCTATTTTGGTCTAAAATTTGCTTCTGAATGAATGTTATTAGACAACCTGGGAAATGCAATGTCTCTGTCTCTGTTATATGCTGTAGTTTTAAAATTTGATTCTCATTATGATTATTGAAGCTTGTTGAGAACGTGTGAGATGATACACATAAATAAGCGACCTTAAGATTGTGAATTTATGGACCCTTTCACGTGTATCCCCTCATACTTCTCAACGATTATATGTTTAGTGAATTGATTCTCTTGATGAGATTTGTATCATTTACTCATCTACAAAATCACTTTCACCTAATCATGCGGCCGTTACTAGCTTTATGGTTCATGATTCAAAATTGAGTGACAAATGATAACAAGAAGAATTGTGATAATTGGCTTTCATGACCAAAAAAAAAAAGTTGCATTTTCATTTTTCAGGGGAAGACCAACATCAAGTGTGAGTAAAAGTGTGGGTGTTCTTGATCTTTCTGGAAAGGAAAAGTCTGGTAGTGCTAAACCGCCGAGAAGGCTCTCAATTCCTGCCAAAGCATCTGCAATTCCAGGCCCAAAGCTGGCTGGTAAGCCTACTAATATTTCCCCAGTCACGGAGACCAGAACTTCTAGGTCAACTTACGGTCAGAACAAGAGTGAAACTCCCACTTCTGACATGTCAAGACCATCTAGCAGAAAGAAGTTCAATGCTTTGTCTTCTGCTTCGTTTTGGTTATCCCAGATCAAGGTCTCAGAATCGGCTGCTAAGCACTCAATCTCGCTTGGATTTTTCAAACTGGCTTTAGAGGCAATATCCGAGGTACATATTATTCATATCCAATGCTCTCTCTTTCATTCATACTCTTACTCTTTAAGTTAATTACTCTAAAGATTTTGGGAACTTGGGTATTTAGTCCTTGTCTCTATTCTCAGCGCATCTGAACCATCTTTTGGTTTGTGTTTGGCATTGACATCAGCCACAGCATCTGAAGAGAATGCAAGATGAGCTCAAATCTTATGCACAGCGCCACCAGCTAGCTGAACAAGAACTTGTGAGAGAATTGTTTGAGAGCTACAACATCTCAGAAAACACAAAGCAGTTACAGCAGGATGTCCCCGAATCTGTTTCAGGGGTTCGAGAAGAGGCAAGTGGGTTATCCGATGAAGATTTGAATAACTCATCTACCATGAGTACTGGGAATATGGAACCTAAGTGCTTAAACATGGACCCTAGTAAACCCTCTCCTAAGGAAGAACCAATCAAGAAGGAGACTTGTCAAAAGAGTAATCCCAAATGCAGAGCAAGAGGAAGTTTCAGTGAGAATTCTGCAAATTCAAGATCTGGTTTGGACAGTGGGAGTCGCAGGTCAGTGAAAAAACCTGAAAAGCCAGGTAAGGAAGAACCTAACAAAGAAAAGGGGAAGATCAGGAAGCAGGGGAAGAAATCTAATGTTGCACAAGGTAAGCCTGAAGCAATTTCTCCTTTGACATGCAATAATACAAAAGTTCAGTTCAAGATAGTCTTAAGCGTTCAATATTTTTACTTTCCACATGCAGGTCCTGTCAGCACTTCCATTGCTGAAGATAAGCAAGGAAACAAAGAAAACTTGGTAAAATGTTGGCTTGGATTATAGATTATTTTTCTTTAAAAGAAATATTGTATAAAAGTAGGGCCTTATTCGTCGTCACTCCTGTCTTGTTGTAGGATGCAGTAACCCACTGAAGAGATAAGTGTGTAACAAGCCATGTGACGAAGCTTGTGTTTGAACTTCTGAGTTGTTATGTGTGGAGCTGGCGTTTTTACCAGTCGCATGAAATTTGTCTCGGACCTACCCCTCAAAGCCTGAATCTTTGTGATCAGTTACGAAGGCGTGGTGTTTGTCTGTCAAACAGTTGCTAATTAAACCAAATTCAAATTGTATCATGGTTTATACTTGGATTTGTTTTTTATATTTTGATTGAATGCTATATTTGTTCTTCTTTTTTTTTTTTTGACCTTGAAATGCTATATTTGTTGAGGCGAGAGGCTTTATTAAATAATAGATGGTATGTCTGATGTGGGCTTTTTTACTCATATACTGCAAGCAGTGAAAAAAATTTCCCAGATCCTATACAATAAAAAATATTTACTAAAATACTGCATTTAAAATTGCTCAAAATAAGAATGAAAAAGGTCAACTCATCCTCACAGAGTGGAGAAAGTTTTCACCGCTGACACCTAAGTACAATTGAAAAAAAAAAAAGGATTTCTTAAAATGGATCGGAGGATTGTGAATGGGGAGAGACTGGATGGGGTGGGTGTGGCTAGTTATACGATATGCGGGGTGTGTTCTTCTAGAACATCTGATCCATTCCCTTCATATCTTGATTCTCCATGCCAAAATTATGCATATGTGCCAATTTCCAAATAAGAAATTTATTAATAAATAAGCATTATAAATTTACAAAAATATATTCAAGACTTTTTAGACTTAGTTATAATTTTTTATGAATGTTGAAAGATCATACTATCCTAGCTTAATAGTGTCTTATTTATAGAATAGAGAGAGAATAAAATTTTTTATCCTATTTAAAATTTAGTTAATAATTGAGTGAATTCAATTCTCACTGTTGGGGAAAGGCATTTTAGTCACAAACCAGGCGGCTCAAAGAGTTATTAAAAATTATCACCAAAAAACAAGAGTTATTAAAAAAAAAATTTCATATGATAATTAAGCCATAAGGTATGTTGACTAATAAGCATGCTTCTAATTATAATTTATTATGAAATTTCAAAATAATAATTTTATATCATAATTTATTTATGGAATTTTATATGTATTTTTGTATTTATAATTCTAAATTTGTGTTTATGATTTAATAGGTACTCTACTAGTCTTATTTATAAGTCATTTATAATATGTTTTACACAGATGAATAAAAATCCTAAACTCCATTAACTCTCATTTAAAATTTAATAACTTTTTAACTTTATTCCTATTTAATATATAATATACTTCATCAAAATAACGTCAATACAAATGATAAAGTGTATTCCAATTAACACAATGGAGATGGACATTTATAAGATCAACAAAGCACTTTGGACTGCCTGGTTTATGACTAAAATGCCCTTTCTCAAGAGTCTTCTTTAACAGGGTGAGAACTGAATTCAGTTCACCTAATTATTGACTAAAATTTTCTCTTTATTTTGTATATAGGACCAAAAATTTTATTCTCTTTCTACCATAAAAATAGGACTAGAAAAGTATTAAGCTAAGATAGTATGATCTTTTAACATTCATAAAAAATTATAACTAGGTCTAAAAAATCTTTAATATATTTTTGTAAATTTATAATGCTTATTTATTAATGAATTTCTTATTTGGCACATGTGCATGATCTTGACATGGAGAATCAAGATATGAAGGGAATGGAGAAGGTATTCCAGAAGAACACATCCGACATACTGACTGCTTAGCCACTCCCACCCATCCACTATCTCTCCCCACTGACACTCCTCCCATTTATTTAAGAAATCTTTTTTTTTTAATGGTACTTGGGTGTCAGAGATGATATCGTTTTCTGTGAGAACGAGTTCACTTTTTATTGATATCATAAAGTGAACTCATTCTTGCTAATATTTCAAACTCATTCTTATTATGAATGATTTTAAATATAATATTTTAGTAAGTATTTTTTATTATACTCTTTGAATTTTTAATATAAAATCTATTTAACTAATTTGATTAGATTAAAGAAGTTAAATAAGTTAGTCAATTATAAAAAATGACATATTTTTTTTAAATACCATAATCATTTTCTTTAATATCCTCCCTCACTCTTCTACTTAATTATGATTGAGGACGTATCTATAGTGGTAATTTAGAAAAAATTGATAAATATGAGAAATAGATATTATATTTAAGACCAAAATCAACTCAACAATTAGGCCTTATATTAAAAATCAGATAAGTATGAAATTTGGGAATTTTTTTCATCGTTGGTAGTATGTAAATAAAAAAGCGTTAATATGTGCTCTTCTCTTAACGGATAATGTGTTCATTTCTTATTTGTTTTGAGTGGTAGAATATACTCGTTCGGTTTTTGATATGGGACCTAATTATTAAGTTGATTTTTACCCTGAATATAATATATATTTTTCATATTTATTATTTTTTTTAAATTACTTTTATAGATAATCTCTCAATCATAATCAAGTAGAAGATGGAGAAAGGATATTAAAGAAGATGATTATGATGTTTTAAAAAAAGCATATTATAATTCCTATAATTAACTAACTAACCTAAATTTCTTAACCTAATTAAATTAGTTAGGTCTTATATTAAAGATTAGGTCTTATATTAAAGACAAGAAGAGTAGATAATAGTCCGGTTGGTGTTGAATTAGTATCACATTCTCATAATCGTGCCGTACTAGTATATCCCCTAGCGACTAATATTGAACCTTATTGCACGTTTAATATGTATTGAGCCTTAATTGTTTGTTACGATTCAAGCCGTTCCCTCTTGTCCTGACACATTGAACTTCGATCTGTAAATTCCTTCACAATACACTCATTCCAATCTATAAGCCGAAAAAAGTTTACGTAAGCATCTAAATATGCATTCACAAAAAAGGAAAAAAAAAATACAATGATTATCTTTAAAATTACAGAGATCTACTCTTCAATCCGATTTTTAATATTGTTAAAAATGTTTCATTGAATATTCTAAAATAATTAATTTTACAAATCAAAACTATATTAAATGATTTTTATAGAGCTCAAATCTAATTTTGCAATCTCCACGATTTATAATATTTTAAATAATTATGATAATACTTAAAAATTGAAAAAAAAAAATATTGAACTAATAAATTTTTTTCCAAGTGATAGGTAATGTTAGTAAATGATTTTTATAGATCATTCATGTTAAAGAGTGCGCTTTGATCCTTAAAATATTGTTTACTAGTGAATAAGATTGAATGGATAGAAATAAAATATCAACTATTAAAAAGAGGTCTATCTTATATAAATTTTGATTTTAGAAAAGGTTCGTGTAAGCTTTAAAATAATAAATTATTATGCGCATGAATGTCTCTTTATATCTATGCATTTGGTTTATTTTTATTTTAATTAAATCCATATGACAAAATTAATTCAAGTATATATTGTGTGAAATTAACAAATTATGAATATAGAGTTCAATACTTATAATTAAGGAAACCATAAGGACCCTATAAAAAAATTACAAAAATTTAATTAAAAATAAAATGAAATTACCAGAAGAAAATGTGGGAAATAATGCTTCTTCGTATGTTAAAATAATTAACTAATAATAGCAAAAATTCAATAAATTTATTTTGTATAGTGAAAATAAACCTCGCATCCCGATATTATTAAAACTTAAAAGGGACCTTGTTTTGTTGCGATGCCTTCTTCCCCCTTACAAAATGCTTGCTAACTCTTTTGGCCTGCGACAACACGCTAATACACAGAAAGTGGCACGTCCGAACCATTACCAACAAAACACCCTCTGAAACATTCAGTCTGATTTATGTTCCTGTATGCAACTAACTTGATCACTTTGGCCACTGCATCTTCTCAAGACCAAGCATCGGCTATAATTGAATAAATCTATGTCATTTACCCAATCATTTAGCAAACTACAACTTTTGAATTGAACCATGTTGATAGCAATCCAATGTTTACAAACTTTTCTATTTTACACACAGATTGGCACAAAGCGAAATCTACAATGAAGACAAGGTGATCCTAAAGTTCAGAATAGCAATGCATGCATAATTAAAATTGAAGTTTTGAGTTTGAACATTGATTCTTAAGGACTGCCACTAAATTCGTTTGTGCAAAGCTTCAGATATGCTGAATTCGCCTACAAGGATGTGCTTAGTCAGCTGTCCAGCTCTGCTCCACTATTTCCCTTACCCTCCGATTGTAGTCACGCTTGTTCTCACTAAACATCCGAGCAGCTTCTGAGTTCGCAGGGGAATTTGGGTTCGGATCACACAGCAGTGACTGCCAAAGGAAACTATTAATCCCCGGAAGAAGAATAATCATCACATGCTGTCTATTGCTTGCACAGTATAAGCATTCCTAAACAAACAAGATCACCCCACACGCACAAACAAAATTCTAATGACATTCTATTTGATGGGGCAAAAACTGTCCCTCGAACGTCCAGTATTTTGATAGTGGCTAGTACTATTATGCTGACGAACTCAGACGGCCATCCTTCATGCAAAAAGGATATTTTAACACCTAAACATTGTGGAAGCTACGTAGGTCATGCTCACATGTAAAAGAGGAAAAATTAACATATTAGGACCCTAGTAATTTAATCAGTGCGTTGCTGCAATCAGAGACCCTGGTGCGATGATGCATAACAAAGTGCACAGTTCATTTTGCTTCAAAAAAAAAATTTAAGAAACTCGGTGATTATATAATTCAAAAACTATACAATTCAAAAAATAAAGATACACATGCACAACTAAACTACTATACGTGAATAAAATAATTTTTTTAATATATTTCTACAATCTGATTTCATCTATCATGTTTTTGTTTTGTTTTGTTTGTTCTTTTTGGGGTGGCTTAATGGACTTCTGGCTAGTTATACCAGGTTTGTGCTGCCCAAATATGAAAGAACAACAATTGCAACGCCACAACCGGTACTTCCTAACTAGCCGTGGCGTTGGACCACATAATAGCAACAACTATGGACAGAGTTAGGGTTTGTGAAAACACTAATGGCCCGTTTGGTTCATAGAATCATAAGTAATGGAATGTAATGCAAAAAGGATTACAATAAGTATGTTTGGTTAATCTTGACAATGTTAAAAAAAATAATAATTTATATATTAAATTTAGAAATCAAAAAATTTAAAAAGACTGAAATACCCTTCTCTTTCTTTCCTCACTCCTTGCCTTCTACCCTACTTCCTCCTTCTCCTTCCTCATCTATCGCCGTAATCAAGAACCAGAAACAATCCAAGGTAAAATCCAAAACAAAAATAGAATTGCAAAATTATTGGGTCAAACCATATTTGTAGAAGACAAAGAAAGATTGGGTTGTGTGAAAAGTTAATGAGGATTCAAATCTAGAAGGTGGACTAAGGAGGTAGATTGCCGTCGATTAGTTCGGAAGTCAATGTGAAGGTAAATCTGAGAAGAAAATGGAATCGTGGAGCTGCAACGCTGTGAGTAGAAGAAGTTTAATGGAGTGAAGCCAAGATACCCACCATAATAAAGCACAACAATTGCCGTAGAGATGATAGAGGAGGTGTCGACGGCTTGTGACTTCATTTTAAGGACAATACTGTATTTTTATTATGCTGTAATTCTTATTCATAGGATCTAGCTATGTAATCAAGATGCAGCCTTCTAAGGGAATGAGGATTACAAAACGTAATCCCTTTTACATTACGTAAGTACAACCAAACAACTGAATCAGTCTTTTATATCATGATTACATGTAATTTCTATTCATGTAATCCAACCAAACAGGACATAACATTTGGAAAGTGCCCGACCGAAATGAAACAGAAAATATTTGCAACGAAATTGTAATTGACCTCAAACTTTCATCTTTTATTCTAATCGAAGTAGAATAGACTCAGGAATTAGAGGACTTCATAAAAAGGATATATATATTGAATTAATATTTCAATTATAAAAGGTTCAGTTTGGTTCCATATATTAATTTTTCCCTTGGAAAAGCAGGAGAAAGCTTCAAGTGGAAACAGGAAGAGAAAAGCAGCCATCATATTGGGCCTCAGAAGGATTATACAGCCAGCAACAAGGCCAGTAATGTATTCTTGATCATATTTTAACATTAGAAATAAACTTGAGGATCTAAAAAACAAGGTCCCTAACACAAATCAAGTTAAAACAGAGATAACAAATGTTAATTGTCACTTCAGTTGGACTCCTCTAACTAAAAGGGATATATTTTCTTTACTCAGGAGGGGGTAAAAAATCACGTTCCACACTCCACACCCATCAAATGTCAAATAGACGGGCATGTAACTAATGGGTCAGGTGTGGCACTGATTTATGGGCCGAGTCTTTTTTCCCTTTTTTCCCCTTTTTTTTGGGGGGGGGGGGTGGTTGTGACGGAATATATATTGTAAAGGGAGACTTAGTGAGGAGTCAACCTTCCGGTGAGCGTTGTTATGGATAGTCTCTGGTCTCTCAAGTACCAGAGGAGATAATAGTCTTGTGTTTTTCTTTCTTTCCTGCCTATTGTAGTATTTTCACATTAATTCGAACAGCGTCTGGGTTGAGTTCCATCACAAATTTTAAAAGCAATTTGTTTGCCATAGTAACCATCCTTGTTTGCTAAAACCGTGGAAAGAGGAAGCCCGTAATTCATAGTTTCGATATGCAGCAGTGCTCTTTTGCAGTGGAAACATAAAATCATGGAGATATTATTAACACTTAACAGCTAGATTTTACCTGGATAGATGTTAGGATAGCAGCTACATCATATATGGGGCTCCATTGATTTTGTAATATATCCAAACAAATACTCCCATCCGCATAAACTGACAAGAGTTGAAAATGTGACGTTAGCATCAAAATAGCTAATTTATGAATAAAATCTTACATATTTCCAGCTGCAACTTACTATTAGGATGAAACATCCGAGAGACAAATCGCACCATTGGTGGTTTGTTTGGATAATCTTCCGAAAATTGGAGGGTTAGCTTAAACGTTCCTGAACAACTCAAAAGATATAACACAAAGCAAGTTACACCATGAGTACCCAGACAAAGTACACACACCTCTCACAGGCACAATTAGGTAGCGTATCAACAATACAATAAACATACAGCTAACAAGAATGAATATATGAATACAATAAATAAAAAGAATAATCCATCACCACACGAGTTCCAGCTACATGACTGTTCAAGCATAATTCTCAATGTCAGGATAACAATCATCGATAGAGACCCCTGAGACTTTTCAGAGAATTAGAGTTATAAGTCTCAGCAATATCATTCAAAGGCCTAATTAACTAAACTCATCAATCACAAAAGAACCATTGCACGTAAAGCAAAAGTGGAGTTCACAGACTTAAATTCGATTGCTCAGAATATGTACAAATCAATAAAAGGAGGGCAGAGTTTTTTTTTTTTTTTTTTTTGAAGAAGGGAGAGTCTAGTGACACATGAGCCAGCATCATTTTAAGAGATGTAGGGGCAGGATCAACTCACCTCCGTCCCATGGAGTATCATCAGGACTGCAATCCAAAGCAGACAAGAAAGCAGAAATTGCTTATCCATCGGTACTTAAACAAGGTGAGAAATAATATGAAGTGATTATATTATACCAAAAAACAAGACGGTGGATCTTCATCCAGTTTCATTCCAACTCACCCAAATATTACAGCATTCCAGAGCATTATATTGTTGTCCTGAGGCGCACCACTGATTCCTGCCGGCGGATCTTGTTGCAGCCTCTTGAAATCTCTCATCAGCCTCTTCCTTGCAGGAGTCGACATTGTCACCACCTAGCAAAACCAACAGCCGATTAGAGAAAACAGTTGTTAGGACACGAGCCGTGAAATTAATAACGACATAAACCTAAAGAAGCAACTCTATTTTCATAGGTGAATATTCATGGTAAAAAATTCATTCAAAATAAACGAGAGAGAGAGAGAGAGAAAGAGAGATTTAAAACGCGACGATAGTTCAATAGGAGCAGCATGATGCTACAAAGACCATACAAAGGTTGAAAAGAAAAACCAGAAACGCTAAAGGGCACATGTAAACGTTCACTCGAATTCCATATTTCTCTAATAAGTGCAGAAATCCCAACTAGTCTCCAGCTATAGCTTGATCGCCGGCCAGCACAAAGCCCCAAAAACGTAACAAGTCAGCATTTACACAACAAGAGGAAAAAAAATTAGGGTTTTAAATCCGATCCTGACTCCGAATTGCTCATCACCGTCAAGGACAGCAGCCACAAAACAAGAACCGCTCACAAGAGTATAAATCAGAAAACAAAAGGCGGAAAAAAGGAAACAGATTGAACATAAACGAATGAAAGGACAAAATTATCTCACCAGTCACCAGGTATCAAAAGGGATTGAAGAGATCAGGACTCAGTAAAGCATATCAATGATTCAGCTTTCCGGGTGGGAACAGGACGATCCTCCAGATCGCGATGCGGGAGATGTACCAAGACAGGGAATTGGGTTGAGTTGATGATGAGGAAGAGGATTCGAGGAAGATGGGCCTCCTCTGGCGTCGTTGTGTTGGGACCTAATCAGCCGTCACTTCTACGCGCTATTTTCGATCATACACTGCTAATTTAAACCTAACCCATAACACCAGCCTCTGGACAAAGGATTATTGAAGTTTTCGGATATTTGCATAACTTCTGTACCCCGTATCACCACCGAAGCTTGCGTGGATGATTATTTATTTATTTTATATAATATTTTGAATTTTAATTTTGTCTAACTTTTAATACTACCTTCAATCCTTAATATGAGAATTTGTTTTACTTTTATTTTAATCATAAATATAAAACTTCAGTTCATTTTATTTCTTATGTTTATTTTTTTTTCAAAATAGTCTTTATAATAATAGTAGTTTTAACCGATACATTTGATTAGTAAGGATATTTTAGAAAAGACAGTATTTATTTACTACCTCCGGTCAATATAAGACTCTATTTGACTTTTATGTTGGTTATAGATATAAGACCCCAATCTATTTTGTCTATCACATTTACTCGGTTTTTTTCAAGATAGTCTTTCTAATAATTATAGTTTTAACCAACATACTTGATTAATAAGGATATTTTAGAAAAGACAATACCTATTTATTCTTCCGGTCCTTAATATAAGACCCAATTATTAAGTTGGTTTTGGTCCTAAATATAAGATCCATTTCTCATTTTTATCAGTTTTCTCTAAATTACCCCTATAAATACTCCCTCAATCATAATCAAGTAGAAGATGGAGATGAGATATTAAAAAAGATGATTACGGTGTTTTAGGAAAAACGTATCACATTTCTTATAATTAACTAACTTACCTAGCTTCCTTAATCTAATCAAATTAGTTAAATGGGTCTTACATTAAGGACCGGAGAAGTATTACAAATAACTAACTTAACTTCTTTTATTAATTTTCTCAAATTAGTTAACTGGCTTTTATAATTAGGATCAGAGGTAGTATTACAAATAACTAACTTAACTAATTTTTTTAATATACTCAAATTAGTTAATTAGCTTTTATATTAAGAAGTTAATAATATCTATGTCTATTTTTAGCCAAATATTTAGATTTAACTTAGATACCTTGAACAATACTCTTCCAACGCATAAAGAGAAGAATCAAAATGATCAAGTTTCCATCCACAAAAGATGAACATAAAAGCTTACTATAGGGATAGGTTGACTTCAATTCGCTACGTGCATTTGCATGTATTTTCCAAAGGTGTGTCCATTTGAAAGTTTCAAAAAATCAGGTTGTTTTTATGCAGTGAAACATGAGCAAATATAAAAATAAATATGCCTATAAACTATAGTCAACGCGTGTTATTTAAACTCTTAATGGCTCAAACTTTGAATTCGAGCGTTGCATGAATAATATAGTTACTGCAGGGTTTTAATTAGTAGCGTTATTACAAGTTAATTTCAATTCAGTACGCGCATTTACATGCATTTTCTAAAGGTACGTTCATTTAAAAAGCTAAAAAAAAAAAAAAAGCTTTTCTGTGCAATGAAACACATGCAAAATGTCAAAAAAAAAAAGGATATAAACCATAAACGACACGTGTTACTTGAGTTCTTAACTACTTAACTAAACTCTAAAGACGCATTTATTTAAAAGCTCCAAAAAAAGCAGTAGCTTTTGTGTGCAATGCCTCCAAACTGCAATTGACACATGTAGTTTGAATTCCTAATTGTCTACATTTCAAAGGCGCATGCATGCATTTAAAAGCTCCCAAAAAACAAAAAGAAAATTACAATCAAGTTCCACAAAAGAGAAATAATTACTAAAAAATTCTAATAACAACATTAACAGCCTATAATGACAAGTCCTATAATGAAAATAACAATATCTGAGACTTTTTTTTAATTATTTTTCTTGCTTGAGACCTCATTGCAATTCTCCCAAAAACAAAAAACTTTTTACACGTACTAAAACACATACAAACGTTAAAACGGATGCACATGTTACTTAAATTTCTAATTGATCTTACATGTAATCTGTTTGCAGCATCACCAAATTGGTCAAATTTGTTAGTCCACTCCAATAATCAAGGATTGGAATTCAGATTTTTGGAGGATTAGCTTTGTAAGAATAGAAAATTATGAGAAGCAGCTTGCAAGTTTTTTTTTTTTTAATTGTAAGCACTTGCCTAAAAATAGAGGAAAATCACCAGTACCTGCAAATTATTTTTTTCCAACTATTTATTTCTAGTCCTTTCTTGTATCCACTCATTTCCTAACAATATCAATCAAGCTCTATTTAAAAGGCAAAAGGCGAAGGCGTATCAATATAATTATCTTCAATAAAAAGATTTTTTCCTTCTATTTTTTTTTTTTTTAAATAGAGTAAGGAATTCAATCCAGATACCCAGTATGGCAAAGTGGACCTGGTTTGTCCAAAAAGAATTGGGGTACTTAGAGTTAGGCCCACTATCAAATCGCCAAAGAGCCCAATAATGGTTAGGCCCATAATACCCCCGCAATTTCCCGCCAAATCTCCAGTGTCTCGCGCCAGATCTCTTTTTGTTCCCGTCACCGGTCATACAATCTCCCCCATTGGCCAACAACGCCACCTTCGTTTCACTTTCAGAACTCTGATCTTAAATTTTCTATCAAATCACTCGCTTTTCCCCTTACAATTCTGTTTACGCAGTGTGCATAAAAACCACAGAAATGACGAAAGAAGAGCTTCAGAACGAAAATGATGACATGCTTATCGATGGACAAGAACCTGAAGCACCTGGGCAAAAGCAGGGAAGTCATGATCCTGGCGAGTTCAATCCCGATCACCTTAAATTATTTTACGGTAAATTTTGGTTCTTATCTGCTTGCAATTGCTAATTTACCTTTTAGTTGAGCTCACTGTAATTTCGGCTCAATTGCTCAACTATAGTGCACTTTTCTAAGTGATAATCTGATCAAAATTTGCCTTTTTCCGTCAAGTCACTAGGGATTGTATTAGTTTATCTTACTTTTATGCTATATCGACGTTTCACTTACTTCTGCTTGTGATTCATATTCTCCCTTCCTGTTTTCACCAGGAAAGCTATTTCCTTGTGCTGATTTTTTCAGATGGATGTCTTACGGAAATGGTAAGCATTGAATATATGTTATCTCGCCTATTCCTCTTTCGATGCATATAATCGGGGGAGGGTTGCTAATCAGTGGGTGCAATGCACATTTGCCTTCTTTTTTTCCCCATCCCCCTCTTTTCCTCTCAATGTATTTGTAGATGGGAAGCATCCCGGTTGCGATCCCTCTTACATCAGCCGGAGGGAATTTTCATTTACACTTGACAACGACATATTTCTACGATTCCAATCTTTCCACAACGCCGTAGAGCTTGAAAATTCCATCAGAGAAAAATGCCCATTTAAGATTGATATCGGACCTGTGTACAGCGTGGAGGTAAGATTACCATATTTTTCCTCAATTCTGCATTCTGGAATCACGTCGAACCGTCATTGTTCTGTTGTGTGTTAGAATTTGGTCTCGTTATCAATGCAGTATCTAGTAGTGTCTAAAAAGAATTAAAATTTGAAATATTTTCAAGCCTCAAACAAGCCACAAATTGCTGTAATTTTTTTATTAAATTCAATTTTAATTCTTCTTGACAACGTTGTTGCCTCTGTTGAGTTCAGTATACATTGCACAATCTTTCGATGGATTCTGAGCTATCATCTCTCTGGGCACATGCAAATGTTTTTTAAAATCTATTCCTAGTATATTTCATTTGAAATGCTATTACTGAGATCTTCTATCCTGTTTTTCTCTTCTTAATCTATAGCTTCTTATGTGTTGTAGCCCACAAAAAGGCATGCCTATGCTCAAAGTGGTGATAATGTTTTCGCTCCAGTTGAGAGAGAGCTAATTTTCGATATTGTAAGCTTTTCAACCTCAATTCGCCGAATAAAAACTGCTACCGGAAAATTATTGACATGTAGTAGTTAAATATGTGCTGTAGGATATGACAGATTACGATGATGTTAGATACTGCTGCACTGGTGCTGATGTTTGCTTGGATTGCTGGCCATTGATGACTATAGCTATTAAAGTGATTGATACCGCCTTAAGAGGTGATATTTGTATCTTATATAATGTGGCAAAACTGTGATTTACAATTTTTTTTTTAATTAAAGAACAGTAGACTTAATTTTGATCTCTTTCATGCTGGCGATTTTAAGTTTCATTTAATAGTGTGCATGCTGCAAGCTGCATTTCTCATAAGAAAATGAGCATAGTCCCCAAATGGAAATGCTCCTAAATGACTGAAGATAGCTTCATAATAATAAGGTGGGGAAATTGATTTGCCAGATGACGTCATTCTTCGGAAAGGTAGATGTATCATGCCAGACCAGAAAGAGAAAGAATCCCACTCTAAATTTGTATTACAATGGTCTGAATACATTCCAAAATGAGATCTACCTAAATTTTTAAATTTGTGGGAAATCGATGGCCTAAGCAATGCCTGATATAAGAAATGTATAATAATATTATTACTTCCATAACTGCATGGGTATTCACTTTCTGATATTTAGAATTCCTGGGCATTGATGTTGTCATGTGTTTTTTTTTTTAATGAAATTGATTTTATGTTTTTAAATTATGTGGAATCCTACTATTTTCAGATGATTTTGGCTTTAAACACATTCTGTGGGTTTATAGTGGCCGCCGAGGTGTTCATTGTTGGGTCTGTGATGGGAAGGCAAGAAGGTGCGACATTACAATTAAGAATTGCCTTGTTTCCTTCCATTACATAGTGTAAATATTCTAATATGTTACCTTTTGCTTTTGCAGGCTGACTAATGAGCAGAGAGCAGCTATTGCTGACTATTTTCGTGTCTATAAGGTGGTATTCTGTAGATATACAATGTTTTTTTTTTTTTTGGGGGGGGGGATGCTTATTTTAACGAGTACTTTCTATCTTTTATTCTGTGCAGGGAAATGAGAATAGTCATAAGAAGGTTTCATTAACAGGCCATGCTCTTCATCCTTTCCTGGTGTAAGTTTTAATATGGATGATTGAGCTTCTGGAGTACATATTTCATATTCCTATTTGACCTATGGTGAATTTCGTTTTTGCAGGAGAGCATACACTGAAGTTCTTAAAGATTTTTTTGAGAAAGGACTACTAATAAGTCAAGATTTACTTTCTACCGAAGAGAGATATGAGATGATCCTAGATTTGATTCCAGATGCAGGTGCATATTTTTACTGTTCCAGCCATGCCTTCGGCTGAATCTTGTTATGACATTTCGAGCTCTGATCTATGTAATTAATTCGTGAGTGCTGTCTGCAGCTATTGCTTCTGAACTTAGGGGTAGATGGCAAGATAACAGGCGGTCTTCAAGTGCAAAAGAAGACATTAATGTTGTTCGATGGGAACAGCTCAAACACTTGCTGTCAAAGAATAAGGTTAGTAGTCAAATGCTAGTAGCAAAATATCGATTTTCAAGGTGAAAATGGCGTTTCCTTTATGCATTGTGGTGTAGTTTGTAGATAATAGTTAGTGGACTCTCATTGCTGAAATCTATTTTAATAGTCACATGTTTCTGTCTTTTGCTGCTGAGATCTATTCCCTTGTGCAGGCACTAGGACTGCGAAGGTGTGTTGAAGAGATTGTGTTCTCCTTTACTTACCCAAGGCTAGATATGGAGGTTTGTCTATATCCGATTCCTTTTTCCTGTATTTACTGGCCTATTTGAACTGTTTCTGATTGTACCTTTACACGTTCGTATCTTGTCCCTGCAGTCTCTATTGATAGAAAGTCAACTATTCATTTGACAAATTAAAGGTTTCAAGTCTAAATTTTTGAGGTGTCTGATTTGGCCAATATATGTTTTAGGTTTCGAAGCACATGAACCACTTGCTTAAAGCTCCATTCTGTGTGCACCCAAAAACAGGTCAGTAACTAACCTTCATATGATTTTCTCTTGTCTTTTTTCTTTTTCTTTTTGTTTTATCGTTTCTGTGGTTGATGTTTTGACTATCAACTACATTCTATTATGTACCAGTTTGTCTGTTAACTGATGCTGTTAGTATACTTTATTAGTTACTCGTTAATTTATATTGTAAAGATAGCCTTTTTTCCCATTGTTTCAGGCCGCATATGTGTACCTATCGATCCAAATCACTGTGAGCAGTTTAATCCTACCACAGTACCTACTCTTTCACAGGTAAACTTATTATTCTAGAACACGAGAATGATGATTTTCTGGTCTATCTTCTGACTAATCTTGGGGATAGAGATGAAAGCTTCCCACTTGGTTCTCTATAATTTGCTTAGTTGGAAGAAGATTGATCGTTGCACTTCGGGCAATACTGCAGCCAGTGAGGTTGTAACTGATTTGTCTATTGGCAATTTGGCACGAGAAAACTATTTCCAGTAAAAGAAGGTTTTTACTGGGCACTCGGATTGGTTGCCAGCACTAGCTTAAAACTATTGCAATACCATCTCTAACACATTGTCCCCAATATCATCATCACCTTTTGATAACTAAAATGGATCTTAAAAGGATGTTGTACTCATGTTATCTTACAACAGAAGGGATACAGCAATTTGATATATAATACATATTTCTCATGTGAATTGCTGTGTTGTGTGATTGCAGCTTTTAGAAGAACTTAACGAAAGAGGTCCAAGAGATGATTTAGATGATGGTATGTTTACTTGATAATTGGAAAGTCCATTTTTGTGTAAAACATTACATGGCCTAATAATATTGACTATCTTAGCAATGCTGGAAAAATGGCTCATGTCAAAATCATATTTTCCTTTCTATATTAAGTGCAACTTTAGCGTCTGTTACAAGTACTTTTGTTAATTGGTCTCGCTGGATTTCAGAATGGACTGGAACTTCACTTGAGGGTGCCGTCAGCCTTTTCAGAACGTCATTCTTACAGCCTCTACTAAAAGCTTGCAAGGTAAGGAGCATTTTTCAACATGTCCTTGTAAGTCAAGTTCGAAAAAGCTCTATGCAATACTTGAATGCGCTGGGATCCTCTGCTGCTCATCTTATGCAGCATAGCTAATCCCTATTCATCTTTGAATTCCCCAACACCCCAAAAGGCAAAAAAAACTTTCGCAATATAATACTTACTAGATTATGATATCTTTTTGAATGCTTTGATCAAAATTGGTAGACGCGTTGGTCATACATAGCTATTGATGCTGCTTCTTGTGATTTTAGTAAACATATATTTCGGAATATATGCATAGAACAACTATGCTAATGCTGAATATTACAGGAGGAGATAGAAAGTTCTTACAGTGCAAAATTGCAGCAGTCGAAAAACTCCTTTAGCTGGTAATGACCCTTTGTCAAGTAGCTTTGGGAGGTGCAACTGATGGGACAGGACAGCTGTTTGTTGCGACACTAATTTTTTTTTTTTGTTGTGGCACTAAGTTAGCACAATAGGGATGGAATATGTGACGACATTGAATCATAAGAAACTATTTAACCTTATCTGCATATTTATTCGCCGATTGTAGTGGCAATATATTCCCACAACTCCTCTTCTAGCGATGAAAGGTGCTCTGTCTGTATCGTCTTTTGAAAAACTTCTGAATGGAATAGTTGTATATTTCTGCCAATGCCTAGGAATGCTTAGGAGTAACGGAGTAGTAATTACAATGTTTGCTAGGAATCCAGAACTTTCCCTCCACCTTGAATAGGTTTTCTGGTTTTTGGATAGTTGAACATTTGATCATTCTCAGATTGCGACAAGGAAAAGGTTTGGGGAAACGACAGTATTAAACAATTCACTAGTTCTACTGTTAATTTATAACAGTATTATGTTATTTGACTTTTGAATAGGCAGTATATTATTGTTTTTATCATACATATAGAATATTGTTGATTGGTGATACTAATATATATTGATTGAGGGGTAGTTTTTTTTTTAATTACATGATTAGGGAGTAATGATTATTTATTAATCACCAAATGTACTGATAAGCAAGGAGCAGGGAGATGTCATTTGATGTGAGCATGGAAGACGTTGCTAGATAATCTCCGAGGCCAAAAGAAAAGCAGAATTCAAACTCCTTGATTGATCACTGTGTTCTCTAAGGAGATGATAAATGCTAACACATATATATGATCCATGACGCAAACTCGACACTACGGCAATATATAAATATGGTTTAAATCTAAAACATGTAAAACAAGTGCTTGTCTCATGATCTCATCACAAGTCAATATAAGGGCCAGTCTGTTTAATGCCTTGATGATGCTTTTTGTCGTTAAAACACTCAATTAAATCAGGTCCTAATTAATTTGTAATTTAGTATCAATCTAGGTCATTACTTCCAAAGAGCAAGTTATGGATTTTTTTTATATAAAAAGTTAGGTGATAAAAAAATACAATAAATTGGATCTAAACTAAAATATAAAATTCTAATCCTAAATGCAAGATGCAAATGTTCTAAAATCTATATGAAAATTAAATTAAACTAAATGAATGCAATGCAATATTTTGAGGGGATTTTTTTGGAAAAAAAATAATAAATAAGGAAAATTGACTAAAGAGCAAAGAAAATTAACAAGTAAAAATTGAGAAGTTTTTCTTCAGGTAAAGTAGAGGGGACAACTTAGGATTCGTATGGATTTAACCTTCATAACCTTAATCAGTTAATTAGACCAAAGTGAAGTGATAAGAAAGTGGAATTAATAAAGTTAATCACCTATTTGAAACAAAGAGAACCCTTAATTCCAAAAACCTTCAAAATATTAGAGAACTCATAACAGTATAAGGTTGGTTAATTAAGCTTATTAAAACCAATGAAAATAACTCAAATTAACTCTGAAAATTATGTTTGAAATTATCCAGTTAAGCAATTAGACAATTAACTAACTTAATTAAACAATTAAGAGGCAAAAGAACTCAAATTTTGCAATTCAAACCACATTGATAATTAAACTGATAATGAAAACTCAATTATAAATTCAATTAACAATGCAAAGGTTCATAAACATAAATTTCAGTAAATGTCTCAATACAAGTAAAATCCAAATATCAATCCAATCCAAGCATAAAGATGACAATATAGAATTAAATTGTCTCACAAAATTACAACTTTAAATTATCTAAAACTAAATAATTTTAAGTTCTTGAATTAAAAAAATAAATGGAATATCACTCTCTTGTAATCTTCAAGTGCTAGTCTAAGACTTAAGTTTCCTTTATACTCTTTTCAAGTTGCCTCTCTAGCAAGTTTAAGTTACCATCAAAATGTCTCCTCCTCCAAAGTTGTTAGATGTCATAGTCATGAATTGATTGAAGGTGATAGTGAGGAGCTGTGCGTGTAGTGAGAAAGGAGAGGAAATTGATTGAACGTGACGATGGAATATGGTGGGAATTCCAAGATGGTGACTATGGAACGGATGGTATACAGCGAGTCTGGAGAGCTTGGTGAAGGAAGAGCTTTTTCGTCCTTTTGTGGAGGGGATGAGAGGAATATTTTAATGGGAGAAAAGAAAATTTTTTTTATCCGAAATTCAAGCCCATTAATAATTAATTGATCTAATTGATATTAGTTATTAGATTGTGCTTAAATTTTAAGAAACAATCTTGCACTATTGGATTTCCTATATGTTCTTTCTTGACCTACAAGAATTTAAGTACATTTATTAATGCAAATTATATCCAAATATAATATAATCTATATCAAAATTAAATATTAGATATGCACAAAAATTAGGCCAGAAATTGCAAAACTTTCTTAAAATAATCTTTCTAAAAATATGAGACTTTTTTCCAAAGAAATAGAAAAAATTAATTTCAAGTCAAAAATAGAAAATCACAAAATATTTATATTTTTAATTTAAAATCTCAATTTTTATGCAAAATCCAAAAATCAACCAATTGATCTAATTGTGCATAAAAATCTAATTAAACTCAAAATTATTATTTAAATCCTAAATTAATATGAGATAAAATATATAAAATATAGATTTTATCATGCCCCGTTTGTTTAGCAGCAGAAAATCTTCTTTCATTGTATGACAATCTAGACAAGAAAATATTTATGTAACCTAATAACAAATAATGACATGACAGAATGCAATTCTGTTTTTCTTCCTTTTGTGGATGACGATACCAATAAGCAAGCCCATTTGCTGGTCATTCTTGAAAAAGCTAAGGCAGAGAATGATAAAGACCTAAGAACCATTTCTGAATGACAATTGATGGGACACATTTTACCTTGATGAAGGGCAATGTTCCTTTCAAGCCAAATGGTATTTATAAGAGTAATAATACGAGGCATGATATGTCCCGGTTCTCATAAATTAGTTTTTTTTAAACAAATGTGTATTAATTTTCTTAAACTATCATTTTGAATTATCTGCATTAGAATTATCTTTTGATAAAAATCTTTTGTAATTAATAAAAATATTTTTAAAAAAATTATAAATTTAAAAGGCAAAATAAATTATGGTCCTATATTGGAAACCAAATCCAATCTTGAATTAGTTTTTATATTAGGGATGGGAGGTAGTACAAGTTATATATATATATATATATATATATAAATTTCCGACCATGTAAAAGTAAGCAATTGCCGTCCCGAAATAAAGAATCATGTCCATTTAGAAAGGAGATCGAGTTGCTAATGTTTTTCATCAGCAATTTGAAAAGAGTACGAGTTACCGACGAGTGGCATATTGCATTATGCTAGTTTCCAATTAAAAAGGGTATCCAGTATTAGGTCAGCGATACTACGCAAAAAGTCATACGAGCAGCAGAAATCAACTTGCATGGGACGCAAATAAAAAAAGGTAGTTGAGAGGGGAAGTTGACAATACTCAAAAGCATAGAACGATATAGAGAGAACCATGCTTATGGTTGGTGGGACTTGGAATATACATTTGTCAAATTATTGTTAATTGACTTCATTTATAAATGCTTTCTAACTTAAAAAGTGATTATGTAAAACCGCTGAAAAAGTCATATGTACAAGTCTGGACCGCTTAATTAGCCGGGGGCAAAAAAACAAAAAACAAAAAACAAAACAAAAACAAATTCCTTGATTGATTGCTTTGTTCTCTACGAAGATGAATATTAACATAGATATGATATATGATACTTCTTAAGTCCTTAATATAGGATCTAATTGCTGAGTTGATTTTGGTCCTAAATATAAGCTCTACTTTTCATATTTATCAATTTTTTCTAAATTAATCTTATGGATTTTTCAATCATAATCAATAGAAGAGGATGAGAGGATATTAAGAAAGATGATTATGCTATTTTAGGAAAAACATATCATGTTTTTTATAATTAACTAACTTACCTAATTTTTCAATCTAATCAAATTAGTTAAATATGTCTTACATTAATAACCGAAGGATACATGACATGGCATCCATATACTATGACAGTAAATAATATACAAAGATTAAAAATAATTGAAAAATGGTCTAAACAATTAATTGATTGTATTGATCACAATATAGCACTACTGAATCGAAATTGCGATACTCATAATGCTGGAAACAGCCCTCCCCATTTCATTTTCTGATGAGTCAAGTTTTCTCCGGCACCGGCACGATTGCCTTGGCTACTTCCACTGCCACTTCCTGTGCCAATAATTGAGCTAAGTGCCACCGCCAAAGCCGACTGAAACTTTGGGTCCGCCGCGATGGCCTTGGTCGCGGCGGCGATACCATCCGGTAGAGCAGTAGGTTGGGGAGGAGGATGAGTTGGGTTATTGCTAACACTGTTCTTTTGCACGTAAGGCAGCCTATAGATATTATCCATTGTAGACCTTCCAAGGTTCACGGAACTGAAAATGTTCCTGTTATTACTGTTATAGCTGAGAAAGCTATTATTGTTTGGGGTACTAAAGTTGAGACTTGTGGAAGAAGGATATGGTAATGATGATGATGATCTTGGAGCTAGGTTGTAGCTTGATGATGATGAGGTCATGAATCTGGAGGCAGCTGAGTTTGTGGTGAGGTCGAGAGTGATTGTTGGGTGAGAAGGCGCAAATGATGAGAGTGAAGGATTAGAGAGATATAATGGTTTTGATCTGCTGGTGGAACCATCTGGTAAGGAGAAATTCAGGCCATAGAGATCAGCTGAAGTGGCGGTTGTGGCGGCGGCGGAAGAAGACGATGAACCAGACAAAAGCATGGAAGCTGCCGCAGAAGTAGTGGAAGCCATGGCGGTGGCTGAGAGAGGAAGAGGGTGGTTATGGATTCCCTCATAAGTTGTAGCTAAAACCGACATATCCTCAGCACATCTTTGTACCTGAAATTACATGTTCATCAAGTTTCTGTTAATAACACACGTGTACAGTAACACACAATCAAAATGAATTATAAGAGATATTGAAATAACCAAGTGTTCATGTGTTATA